CAAACTCTCCAAAAATTCTGAGTGGGGATCAATTCCTTTCTTATGTTAGGAGGTTAGGCTACTCTGATCCTAAAGCCAGATGCACATTAACAAACAGAAAATGACAGGCTTACAAGTACAGGTGTAAAAACTGTCGACAAAGCTCAGCAATTGGAATCTAAGAACATGTTAAGAGGATTACAGGCCACGGCCAAGTGGGGTTTTCACAGGAACCGAACATCTGATGAATGTGATACACCACAGTGATAGCAGAAAACAATGCAGCCCCTGGAGCATCCTTCACAGCAGAGACACTGGGAAAACAAAGACCTTCCTGAGCATGGCTGGGGACACCCCTGAAGGTGCTTGGTACTCAGGGGCAGAGGTCCAAGAGCGTTCTCTTAGAATGGAGAGACAGAGACGCCTGCTCTTCCAACTGTTACTCAGTGCTGTGCTAGAAGTTCTAGCAGGAGCAATTAGGTAAGAAAAACAAGACAAAACAAAAAGCATCCAAGTCGGAAGGAATTCAGACTTTTTCTGTTCACAGACAACATTGGACCAATATATAGAAAATTCAAACAATCTGTGAGAGAAACGACAAAAACAATAAGATACACAGAAATATATTTAATCAAGGGCACACAAAACTTGTATGTTGAAAAGTATGAAACATTGCCAAGAAGAACCACAAAGGACCTAAATAAAGACAAGCTGTTACTATTATTAATTACCACTAAGATGCCAATACTTATTAATAAGATGGCAATGCTGCTCTGATCCATGGATCCTATACAATCCCCTTCAAAATCAAAGTGTTTTTTTTTTTTCCAGTGTTGGCAAGCCGGATCCTCCAATTCCTAAGGAATTGCAAAGGACCCCAAATAGCCAAAACAGTATTGCAAAGGAACAAATTTGGAGTTCTTTCCCTTCAAAATTGCAAACATTATTATGGTCCTGGTATAAACACAGACATATAGCCAACTGGAATAGAAATAACCCATGACCAATTGATTTTTTTGCAACAGGGATGCCAAGGCCATTGAAGGGAGAAAGAATAGCTTTTTCCACACACTATAAATTTAAAACAACAACTCCAAAATGGAACAAACAGCTACCTATAAGAATTAAAGAATTAATGTGGAAGAACACAAGGATAAATCTTTATGACCTTGGACTAAATGATGGGTTTCAGATATGACATTAAAAGCACCTGAAAGAACAGGAAAATTGAACTTTATCAAAATTAAAACCCTTTTATGTGCCAGGGGAACTAAGAAGGCTGCGAGGCAACTGTTTTAATTGCTTCCTCTTTACTCACTGATGGGAAATTGCCACCCTAGCATATTTATGCAACACCTCATCCTGGACTGATGGGCTTAAGAGCAGGTTATCAGACATGTGTGCTCACACCACCGAGGAAGAGGACTCTGCACACCCTGACTACAGGGCTGCATTCAGGAAAGAGTGAATAATCAGAATACTGAGGATAAATAAGCCAGAAACAACCACAATTCAATAGTGTTGGGAGGTGGAGCCTTTTCTTAAAGGGTGGTGTAGTCATAAGGATTCTGTTGTCATGAACAGATTTTGTCCTAAAGCTAGGACAACCGGACTCGACAGGAGCAATCTGGTTCCTTTACATGCCTTCCATCCCTCCCCCTACATGAGAATATGACTTTCTCCAGTCTGGAGGGTGCAGTGAAAGGGATAGACTCGGCCTCAGGGGTCAGAGGACATGTCAGGACTATGTGCCTGAGCTTCCCAGCCTCCGGAGCCATGAGAAAGAATATCTTGTTTATAAATCTCCCAGCACACGCGCACACCTGAGCACACATGCACACCTGAGCACATGCGCACACCTGAGCACACGTGCACACACACATTGCTGCAACAGCATCAACAGATCAGACAAGAGGTCTGTTGAGATGCACAAGCAGTATAGTATCAAAAGCCGAGGTGCACCCTGGCTGCAGAAGTACGATGTGACAGGTTCTCTCGGTGATTCTTCAGCACATGGGAACTGACAATGGGGCCCAACGGAAGCCCTCCTCCTCTGCCAAGGCACATAATAATGGCTTCAAATTTTGAGTTTAAACTGTAACAACTCATAGAATGAAAGAAAATATTTGCAAATCACTTATCTGATAAGGGTCTAATATTCAGAATACATAAAGAAGTTTTACAACTTAACAACAAAAACCAATAACCCAGTTGGAAAATGGGCAATAGGTAAGGAGACATTTCATCCAAGACGATATACAAATGGTCACTAAGCATAAGAGAAAACAATGAAAACAGCACCATCCCATAAGGAAACAGCAAAGCGAAACCATGAAGGAGTGCCCTTCACATCTGGAGTGCAGAACGGCACAGCTGCCAGGGGCAATGCTTTGGTGTCCTCTCAAAGGTGAACAGACTTCCTGCATGACCCAGCAACTTCACGGAGGTGAAGAAAAGAACTGGAAACGGGCATTCAAACAACTATGAGCAAATATTCGTAGTGACACTATTCACGAGAGCCACAGGTAGAAATAACCCAGATGTCCATCAAGAGATGAATGAAGAAACAAGATGTGGTATACACACTTGACGGGAAATTATTGGACCATAAAAATGAATGAAGTACGACGGTGCTTCAACATGGACACATATTGAAAACATTATGCTAACTGAAAGAAGCCAGGAAGAAAAAGGTCACATATTGTATGGTCCATTTATATAAAATAGCCAGAATAGGAGAATCCATAGCGACAGAACAGACTGATGGTTGCCAGGGACTGAGGACGGGCAGGGGTTAGGGGGTAATTGTTTAATGGGCACAGGATTTTATTTGGGGTTTCAGAACTATAGAGGTGTTAGGTGCACAATGGTGAAAATGTACTCAAATACCACTGAACACTCAAATCTTGAATTTTGTGTTATGTAAATTTCAAATTGATTTTTAAAAAATATCTAGGAAAAGAAAACAAGCTCATGGGCCCTTTGTCAAATACATACATTACAGGCTCTCATTCAATTTCTGGTGTTTTTTAAACTGAAAAGCATACTTGGGCTCAAGTCAATCATAACATTGGAAAAGGTACGGATCTAACTTAGTCAAGTGCTCCTTAGCTGAGAGCCACGTTCTTCCAGACATATAATCATCCCTCAACATCTGAGGGAGATGGCTTCCCACTCTCTTTCATGGTTGCCAGGACCCATGATTCTCAAGTCCCTTATATAAACGGCATGGCTGTGCATATGGTCTACACATACTCTCTGTATGGTTTAGAGTCTTTTTAAGTTGCTTCTAAGTCCTACTATATGACGACAACCACACGTCCCAGGCACTCCACTGGTGCACAGCAGAACAGTGGGTGCTCGACACGCGCAAATCAACAGTCAGAGCAACACTGCTTATTGGCGGCTAACGAGCTGCTGTACTGGAGCTGGAGAGATGGCTCGGCAGCTAAGGGCACACTCTGCTCTCGCAGGACCCCAGCTCGGTCCCCAGCACCCACCTCAGGTAGCTCACAACTGCCCAGAACACCAGCTCCAGTGCATCAGATGACTTCTTCGGCCTCCTGTGCGACGTCCCCTTACCCCACATATACACATAATTAAAAATAACATAAAAAGTAAAAAAAGCTTTAAAGGTAGTTCTTTTACTGTATTACTTAGGGTACAACTGGACATGTTCAATACAGACACAACTGGCTCCCAATACTTGTAAGTGAATGTTGCTAAACTCATGGGTGCGGAACTCACGTGTAGGGATGGAGCACAAGGATGCCGAGGGCTGCCACACTGCTAAGCTATCCTGTTGGTACTCTCTCTGCACAGCCCACTTTCCCTCTAAAGACAGTGATGCTAAACTGCTTTCAAGTTCCCTAAATATACTTAGCAATATCTAAATTTCCATGCCATGGAAACAGGATCTTCCTAATCTAGGGCAGTGGTTCTCAACCACATTATACATCAGAACCACCACTGAAGCTTTAAACATTACTCATATCTGAGTACTACCAATAGAGGTAGGATCTCCGAGATGGGGTCAGGAATCTAGGGGTCAAAAGCTCAGTTTTTAAGGCTCTCAAGATGACTTTAATGTACAGCCAGAGTTGAGAATAATTCACCTAGAATATTCCATATCCCCATTCCCTGCCTGGCCACTGGTGCCTTACGCTCCTCCTGCTCCTCCTCTTTCTTGCCCTGACCCCACCTCCCAGGAGCGGGGGCTGCTGGGATTATAGTTCACAGACCAGGCTTACTCTGATGTTTTCTAAATGCCAATTATTTATGTTGGAAAGTAGTATCTTTCTAGAAATTAAGCCATTTGACTAGAGTTTCTGATGTATTAGTTTAAAGTCGCCTGTGGTTTTTCTCCTTTTTTCATTCCTCAAACTGTTATTCCACCTTCCCTCTTTTCTTTCTAAGTCCCCTTCCAGGGTCTTGAGCACCGTTCTGCTGGTTCAAAGACCAGGCCTTCTGCCTGTTCTGCATCAGCACACTGCACAGCAGCCCAGCTAACATCCACTCTTACCGTTACCGTTTCCTTCCATGCTCTTTCCTGGGCTTTTGCTAACTATTGTTCCTCAGTTGCTTCGCTTGAGACTTAGGTGATTTACTTTCAAATATCTTTTCTGGTGCATGTACTTAGGATATAAATTTCCCGGAGCCCAGATACAGCTATACTCCAAACTTTGACATGACATATTCTCATTACCATTCTGTGTAAATTTTATACGTCCTTTATGGTTTCTTCTGTTACCTGTAGGTTATTTAAATCTTACTTACAGTGCTAAGGGTCAACCCAAAACCTCAACACACACTAGCCAAACACTTCAGCACTAAGTCATATTTCCTGCTCCACAATTTGTCTGTTTTGACGGTCTCTCCATGTTGCAAGGCATGCTTTCCAAAGTGACAGGTCATAAAGAAACTGTCCTCAATGAGAAGACACTTCACATTTCCAATATACTCACCATTTCATCCCTGTTTCCAAGCAGCTTATATTAAAAACAGACAAGAAAGACACTTACTCTCTCTCCTTTTCAGTCAGCTTGTCATTGATATTATCTTTGATTGTTGATCTGGACCCCTTATGAATTATGGGATATCTGAGGGGTACTTGTAGGAAAAAGGAAATCATGGAGACCAAATGTGCAGTGTAACCAAGGGCAACGGCAATGCTTCCATCATCTTTTGCTGTAAATTCAAAAACAGAGGAAATTAAAACAACCATTTACCTTACAGATGTAACTCTGAGGAGGTCTTATGCAAATAGGTAGGAAATAAAATATTAATCACTTATCTAAATGATGTGAATTTATGCAAATCTAAACACATTAACAAGGCTTGAAATTTCACCTACTAACTATTCTTAGAGCTATCTTCCAATGATTAGTGTGTTGAGGTCAAGATGTGATATACCTCTTATGTAAGAGTTCTTAGTGTGCCCAAATAGTCATTACTTTCTTTTACATCCTATCTATCACATAATGTGATTAGTCAGAGATTTTTAACATAACATAGTCCAAATGCTGTACAGAATATTAATTCTGAAGTGAAGTAACAGAACATACTACCTCCTTACGGGGGGGGGGGTGCTTCAAGTATTGATAAGGACACGGGGAATTTTAAAATGGAGAGAAAGGGGAAATATGTTCCATAGTGAAGATCAAAAAACATATTGCTCATACACCAACCTAATCATATAATTTAGGTGGAGGTAACTAGAGGGAAAACACATGTGCCATACAAACGTAAGCATTTGGCTTTTAAAAAGCTACAAATTATATTCTAAAAACTCATCATTCATATTTCTGCTCCTATCTAAAGATAATAAATGATTATTCAAGTTCTCAGAACTCGAGGAATGCAACAGAAAGTCTCAAATGTCCCTAAGAAGGAAGAAAAGTCAAACTCCTCCCTAGCATACAGTATTCCTTAAGGACCTTCAAAAGCTCCGCACGTGTAAAGATTGAATCCATGAACTAGGGTATCCCAGCCATGGAGAGGGGGATGAAATGATCACAGCAACTGTGGCCTCGCTACTGCTTGATGCCTAAGGACACCTTCAACTTCAATTATTAACCCTATTTTTCATGTTGTTCCATTTATAGTTTTGATATCTGTACACCAGCTTTTTATGGCAGGGATGCCACTGCACGGCCCCTTCCGCAGTGAAGTCTCTGCCCTTGACTAAAATCAGTCTCAAGTTTCTCTTTGATCGTCCTGTAAACAAACATTACTTACTATTACTCACTTTTCTTCTTCCTAGACTTTGTCTGTAGTAATACTCTATCCAATAGTCATTCATTCACCAACAAATACTGAACGAGACTTCTCTGCAATACCGTCTTATTCACTTACAGACTGAAATCAAAGCAAACCAAAAACAAAGGCCCAAAGAGACTAAATAACTGTCTGAAGTAACATTGCTAAGTCGGCCAGCACCAAGGCCTCTGGTCCTTGTCCGCTCTCCCACACCATCACAGAACCTCCTCGTTAAAAAATCAGTATCTACTCACTTCAACTTGGAGTTCTAGAACGTACCAGGCGCTTGACACTTTGCACCACCCCAGTGTCTCCACACTTTTTTAGTAATGGAAAAGAACATGTAAACAGTCTGTGATCCGGGGCTGGAGAGAGGCCTCCATGGTTCAGAGCACATGCCGCTCTTCCTGAGGACATGAGTTCTGTTCCTAGCACCCACATCAGGTGGCCCACAACCACTTGTCACCCCAGCTTCAGGAGGATCCAATGCTTCCTGGCCTCCTTGGGCATCAGCACACACATGCACATAACTACACACAGACACAGATATACATACATGGTTAAAAATCATAAAAATCAATCTTTAAAAAACTGTCTGCAACCTCCCACTTATGTAGTACTTCACAGCCAGGCTTCTCTCCACACAAGTCCATGGAGAAGTGGACAGCATTCACTTCGGATGACTAATGAGTCAATACTAATCAACATGCTAGCTATTTTTAGAGACTATGTCCTCTTGTCCCAGACACAGTCAGACTTTGATTACTAACAATTTTGCCTCTATAGAAACCCGTACATCATACTATACTAGTGACTAAAAGTACTTCACTTTAAGTGTGTGTGTGTGTGTGTGTGTGTGTGTGTG